TTGTTTTAGGTTTATATCTTCTACAACAAAACTGAATAGGATGAATTTTGATAAGATTGACGCTTTTAATAGTTTCGACGATAAATCGGCCTCATTGACACTGTTTCTCGATCAGGACAATGCCGATTTAATTGCTCAAACCTGGAGTAGGCTAAAGACAAACCTTTCCCTGAAAGCTCTTCACCTAATTACAAACTATTACGTTTTGCCCGATGAACTTCCATTGCTAGCTCGCCTGGAGAGCTTTTCACTAGTCAACTATCACGCCAACATTAACAGTGTGCTTAAACAACTGAGCTCAACTTGTAGCAAATTATATCTCGATGGCTTCTTGACTGCAATCTGGGATATGGAAACGCTCGCTAAGGAGAACTCTGCATTGATGAGCTGTGTCACTCATCTGACTCTTGGTAAAATTGGCCAAAGCTATTGCAGTTTTGTCGATGATACTCGGAACAATTTAACTAATATTTCAAGATTTGTTGGTAAACACTTTAAAAATATAACGTTTCTTGACGTTAGATTCACCTCGGAAGTAAGTTGGTTTGTTGTGTAAGTAAGTAAATTGTTTAAATGCTCTTTTTAGCCAAAGTTGCTCTTGTCGGACTTTCTTGCTGCACTTCAGCCGTTAAGCAGTCTTGAAGAACTTCACTTTTCCCTAAAAAACGATGACCAACTGCGAGAGCTACCAACGTGTACTGAAGCTAATCTTAAAATTGATTCGGTGAAAAAACTGTGCATTAGTTTAGCGTCTACTGAATCACCCGATATGAAGCAGTACTTTGGCCACATCTTCCCAAACGTTGAGCATATTGAAGTGAAAGAAAGCAAACCGGTGTGTGTCTACGAGCTTGTAGAGAGCATTAAAGCAAATGCCCCTATTAAATGATATGATTCTCTTCATTCGCTTACATTGAACGGGCTGCACTTTGACTACTGATCAGAGAGAATCATTCTCGGAAGCCATTTCCATAACTGTCAAGTTGAATGGGTAATTTGTGAGGTAGAGTGCGCTTTGGTTACACTTTCACTGCCACCACTACAGCTAATTACGTATACTAACAACTGTACCTTGCGAATCCGTTCATCAACTCATGATGACAGTACCTTTTTGCTTGCCTCTTTGTCTTCTCTGCAGTGAATGATGTCAATGTGAGCGATGATGGCGATGTGACGCCGGCTTGCTGTGAAGCCGCCGAGGCCCACACTGGAAAACCAACCAAACACTGCCAGTTGACCTCATTTGCTGTCGTCGTCGGTGATGATGATCACCAGTGAGTGATCAGTTTTGTGGTGGTGATGATGGTAGTTGGTGTAATCACAACTGCCACAATCGACAGTGATCGTCCAGAGCAGTCCAGAGAGGTTGTCAGTTGTTTCTCAGCCATTGTCACTGTCGAGAAGATCATCCTTAGCAGCAGCATGGCACAATCGTCCACCTCTTCCCTGGTGGCCCCCCGCTCCCGTCGCAGCAGTTCCGTTTGGGACTACGAGCAGTCGGTGATGTTCGGGCAGTACCGCGAGGACCTGGCCGACTTTGCCCTGACGGAGGCTCGGAAGTTGCAGCACCTTCGCGCCGGGGACTCCTCGCAGAAGCGACTGCAGCGGCAGTCGGCGATGCAGAGAGAGGCGCTGAAGAAAGTCCGCCGGTGGTTGCCACTCTGGCGGTGGCTGAGGGCCTTCTGTCAGTTCGGCGGTGACCTGGTCTTCTTCGCCACCCTAGCGGTCACACTGGCAGTGCTCAGCTTTCTCATGGACAACATTGTTCACCAGTTAATGCACTGTAAGTGGCAGTACAAAGCGGTTGTTGGACAAATTGCATTTACGTTTTGTTTTGTTTCTTTCCTATTTGCAGTTCGCCACTTTCTCACGCACGACCTCACCGACATTTTCGCTCTCAACTACGCCTTCTGGGTGCTCTACATGCTCGTGCTGGTGCTCATCTCCGCCACTATTACGCGCTACTTTTCACCCCAGGCAGCCGGCTCGGGCGTCTCGGAGATGAAGGTGATTTTGCGTGGTGTGACGCTGAAAGGTACAGAGCATCAAGCTGCTAAAGTCATTCACTTTTTAACTTATTTCTTACTTTTTAGAGTACCTGTCGCTGAAAACGCTGCTAACAAAGATAGTCGGTGAAACTTTCACTCTCGCCAGTGGCATCTACCTTGGGAAGGAAGGCCCGTAAGTGATGATGATGATGATGTTTTCAAAAAGAAAGACGCTGATGCCCATGAATACACCCCTTCCACCCCAGATTTGTGCACATCTCCGCCATGGTGGCGAATCAGTTCATGAAGATCTTCTACCACCTAACCGACCCGCAGCAGTACGAATCTCGCTTCCTCGAGATCATGGCGGTCGCCTGTGGAGTGGGCGTCGCCGTGTCCTTCGCTTCGCCCGTGGGCGGCGTACTGTACAGCATTGAGATCGTCTCGGTCTTCTTCTCCGTCCGCTCCTACTGGCACGGCTTCACGGCGGCCACCATCGGGGCGTTGCTGTGGCGCCTGCTGCCGGTCTGGTTCGGCCAGCAGGAGGTGGTGGCGCCCCTCTTCAAGACCGCCTTCCGCGCCGACTACCCCTACGAGACGCTGGAGCTGCTCTCCTTTGCCCTTCTCGGGCTGCTCTGCGGCCTGGCCGCCTACGCCTACATCTCACTCAATCGGTGGTTCGTCCTCTTCAACCGCCGCAAGAATCGCGTGAACGCCTTTCTGCAGCAGTACCCACTGCTCTATCCGATCATTGTGACGGTGGGCGTTGGCCTGGTCACCTTTCCCAGCGCTCTGGGCCAGTACTACACCTCCTGCTTGACGCATGGTAAGGGGAGACATTTTGGTCTTCCTTGCATCTTAATCGTGTTTTGCCCCCTTTTCACACTCCTAAAATAGAGGAGGCCATTCGTGAGCTGTACTCCAACTACACCTGGTTTCCGCTGCAGAATGCCGTTGATAATCAAGAACAGAGAGCTGTCGTCGACAACTGGCACACTGCTCATACGACCGTCTTCGAGAACACGCTTCTTTTTTCCGTCATGAACATAATTCTCATTGCCGTCTGCACCACGCTGCCAATTCCGGGTGGAATAATTGTGCCGAGTTTTAAAATTGGCGCCGGCTTTGGACGATTCTACGGAGAGGGCATGGCGTATCTCTTTCCCCACGGTTTGATGGCTCGCTTCAATCGAACCGAGTATCCGATACTGGCGGGCACCTATGCTCTGGTCGGCTCTGCGGCTTTTGCCGGCGCAAACACCGGCGCTATGTCTTCTGCAGTTATTGCTTTTGAAATGACTGGGCAGATCACCCATTTGATGCCGGTCATCGTGGCAACACTGGTGGCCACCATTACCGCCCGCTACTTTGGCCCGGCAATCTACGACAGTCTGATCATTCTGAAGAATCTGCCCTACCTTCCGCCCATTCTTCCCTCTACCTCTGCGGGGCACCAGATTTTTGTGGAAGACTTTTGTGAGAAGAGGCTGTTCTATGTGTGGCGCAAGTGCACCTACCGACATCTTCAGGAGATGCTAGTGGCTAAGCAGAAACTCAGATTCTTTCCCTTTGTTCGCTCTCCAAAAAGTATGATCCTCCTCGGAACGATTGAACGCTCAGAGTTGCAGTTTCTTCTGGACAGCCACCTCAATGGGTTGCAAATTGTTCCTGAACAGTCCCAGTCAAAGAATGAACTGAGAAATAGATCGGAAACTATGGGCTTAAATTTTACTGTCAGTACGATTCCCGAAGAGGAGGAAGANCAAACAAAAGCTCAGATTTTTTCCCTTTGTTCGCTCCCCTAAGAGTATGATTCTTCTCGGAACGATTGAACGCTCAGAGTTGCAGTTTCTCCTGGACAGCCACCTCAATGAGTTGCAAATTGTTCCTGAACAGTCCCAGTCAAAAAATGAACTGCAAAATAGATCGGAAACTATGGGCTTAAAATTTACTGTCAATACGATTCACGAAGAGGAGGAAGAAGATGTCAGTTATAGTCAGGAAAAGAAAAGTGCTAAAGAGAAGACAAACAAATCCGAGCGGGAAAAACTGCTGGACGTTCAGGTGGACTTTAGCAGCTGTCCCATTGATCCTGCGCCCTTTCAGCTGACAGAGGGCACGTCACTCATCAAAGCGCACAACCTGTTCTCCCTTCTCGGGCTTCAGATGACTTTTGTAACGGCTTTGGGCTCTCTTGTTGGAGTCATTTCACTAAAAGAAGTATGTGAAATTACTTTGAATGGATTGTTTGTAATTTATTTCCTTTCCGTAGCTTGGAAGAGCAATTGACAATCTGAATCAACATGACAAAGAGCCAGAAGCACCTGAAATGAATGGCCAGAAGGAACCGTTGGATGCGTTCAGTGACGACGATGAAGAGGACGATAATGAAGATGGCAATAAAAGTGGATCTGATGTGGAGAAAGGCAAAGTTGCTGTCAAGAAAACGGTATCAATTGAACTGCCTAAAAAGTGACTAAGGGGTTCTGATTTTTATGTTGTTTATTTTTGGCCACATTCGGTACATGGATTAGCAGTTCGAAAAAAATACAGTTTGCAACAACTACAGATATCAGTTTTAAATTGTGTTACTTGATCATCATTTTGTCACTTTCATTTTCAACGTAGCGTTCTTCAAGTTCACCAACAATGGCTGAAAATTTCACCAATTCAACCATTCACTCCACAAGTACTCAGTTTTCCCTTTCGATGATCATCGTTGTCTCCAGTGCTGGTGTCGTTGCCTTGGTTTCCATCATGCTAAGCTTATCTGCATTTTTCTGCATCTGCATTGACGAGGAAAAGACCATCAAACTGCAAACCGCCGCCTCTATTAGACAGTCCATTCTGGTGGCAAAGCGTCGCCGATCTTCAGGAAAGGGATCGGTGACTAGTCCCAAAAGGGGCACTTTAAAGACCAGCAAGAAAAAGGGCAGCTTGAAGACCAATAGAAAAAAGGCCAGTCTACGAGAGAATAATAAAAGTTTAAGCAAGTCAAAGTATAACAACGGCATTCCATCCACGACAAGCAAGAGTTATCTGAGTGAAAGTCAGTTCAGTGATGTTTTTGACAGTCATCTTAAGAAGCGGAAAAAAGTACTGAAGACTGGCTCATCCTCTAAAAGTCAGTCATTTGGCAAGTGGAATATACTACCAAACAAGACACTGTTCAAGAGTAAAAGCAAAAGCAAGTCTAGGCAAAAAACGCTGGGCATTGTGTTTGCGACGCCTAATGTATAAGTTTTAGTGTTTGAATTTTTAATGCTGTACAATTTTTTTGCTCTGTATAGCTTTAGTTAGAGTCCAAAAATGATCATTTTTTAGTTTGAACTTTCCAGCAACAGAAGGAACCACTGTCAAAGCACTGAAGAAGGCCTTAAGAAATCCATTCGCAGTAATATCCCCAATGACTTGAAAAGAACTACCCAAATGAGGACATTGCTCAAATGTTTCGCCAAACAACAACAGCAATACACATTAAATTCCCACTGTTCGGATCAGTCGGCGAGGGTCTCCGGTTAACATCTCACTCTTAGACAAAGTGAGTCATCATGGTCGTCAGCATGCAGTGAGTTCTCCTCGTACCTCAGTGATCACGTCTAAATATAGCCAGTACAAGACACACAGTTTCCCTTTCCACTGACGTCGCTGGTCGCCCAGTGGTCCCCGTACACGGCAAGTGCCAGTACCGTACATTGCCATCTGGCTAAATATACCAGCGGTACCCCCTCAGTGCTGCACCGTCATCACCATCACCAAAAACAGCAGCACTACCGAAGCTCAATCACACATTGCTTCACAGTGCCTCTGATCGCCCCCATCAGCGGTGCTGACCAGTGCTGAAAATTGATTTATTAATAGTCGGGGGAACAGGCAGTTACAAGCAGTACAAGCTCTAATGGGGAGATTTCCACTAGTTAACAGGCACCAGAAAGGCTGATGATGAGCTGACGGGTCAGCTGGTGTGGCGGTGACGAGGAGTAGGGGAGACAAGACGAGTACGTGACGGGGCACTGTCAGTAGTAGTGCTGCTGGTAGCACAGGAGGCACCAGTGCAGTTGTTGTAGACAGGTTCAACACTGTACAACGCTGGCTGTACGACGGAAAAGAAGAACAAGCAGTGAAGACAAAGAGTGAGTGAGGAAAGCGGCGTCAGAAGCAGTACATTGCCAAGGCCACGTGGCGGCAGTGAACCAGAAAACGAAAATCAGAAAACGGTTGCTGCTGAAAGATCGATTGAGGAGTGAGCGAGTGAGCGAGTGAAAGAGATGACAGCAAGCAGTTACGACAATGGCTAGATAAGCCACTGCACAGATAAAGACTTTGTGCACAAACATGCACTTGAGGGGAGAGAGAAGCAGACGGTGGCAGTAGCATTGACCTTGACGTGAGAGAAGCTGACTGACTGGTTGATGGTGGTGGTAGCTGATAATGGTGATGGTGATGGTGATGGGGATGGTAGCTGATGATGATCACCGATCAAGTGCTCTCTGCTCGCCACTGCAAGGTCACATTGCAGGCATTGCACGTACCGCTGGTAATTGGTGCCGAAAATCAAAGCAGCACTGCAGCAGTGCCTAGTACTGCTGATTGTCAACTACTCTAGAAATGAACAATTGGAGGAAAAGCAAACACTTTGGAAGAAGAAGAGAGAAAGAGCCACCGGCTCAAGGCCAGAGAATGCATGACATGTATCGGTTGGGTTTCACCCAAAAACTGGTCGTTCTTCCACCATTGCCAATTGCACTCTATAACGTCACATTTTTTATTGCCACAGAAGCACTTACACCACATTAACACTTTTACCTAACTTTCTCAAGGGGAAGCAGCGTTTTAATTACAGTTAAGACTGAGTAAGTGATAAAGTTATTTCATTTTATTTAGTTTCTTGCCGCTGCTTTCTTATACTAGAATTGTTACCACATTCATGTAAAAGACATTACATACTTACATTACCTAGCTACTATTTATAGATTGCCCGTTTAAGGAATAAAAAATTCAAACTCACAATCTGCTGGTAAAAACCAAATGATTTTACACCACAAAGNTGTATCGGTTGGGTTTCACCCAAAAACTGGTCGTTCTTCCACCATTGCCAATTGCACTCTATAACGTCACATTTTTTATTGCCACAGAAGCACTTACACCACATTAACACTTTTACCTAACTTTCTTNAGTATCGGTTGGGTTTCACCCAAAAACTGGTCGTTCTTCCACCATTGCCAATTGCACTCTATAACGTCACATTTTTTTTATTGCCACAGAAGCACTTACAACACATTAACACTTTTACCTAACTTTCTCAAGGGGAGGCAGCGTTTTAATTACAGTTAAGACTAGGTAATGATAAAGTTATTTCATTTTATTTAGTTTCTTGCCGCTGCTTTCTTATACTAGAATTGTTACCACATTCATGTAAAAGACATTACCTACTTACATTACCTAGCTACTATTTATAGATTGCCCGTTTGAGGAATAAAAAATTCAAACTCACAATCTGCTGGTAAAAACCAAATGATTTNTAAGGGGAAGCAGCGTTTTAATTACAGTTAAGACTTGGTAAGTGATAAAGTTATTTCATTTTATTTAGTTTCTTGCCGCTGTTTTCTTATACTAGAATTGTTACCACATTCATGTAAAAGACATTACATACTTACATTACCTAGCTACTATTTATAGATTGCCCGTTTAAGGAATAAAAAATTCAAACTCACAATCTGCTGGTAAAAACCAAATGATTTTACACCACAAAGACAAACAAAGTTCAGATTTAGAAGAAATGTCAGCGGAACAGCATGTCCTGCACTTGAAAAGTAGCGTTTACAAGTAAAAACACAATTTCTTTGCTGACTTTGCTAGCAAAACAGTCTGAATTGACTGACGTCGAAGAAAAGGATCGATTCGATCCACAAAGCACTTGTCCCCGTCGTCGTCGGCGGCAATCTACCTAAAAATTCAGTGTTGTACAGTTAGCCTGTACACTGAGTTGCACTTGACGGCCGCTTTCACAACCGACCAACCGGAAAGTTACTGTTTCTTGTTTTGCTTACCTTCTTGAAAAATACCGTTATGAGAAAAAGAACAGTGACGCACTCTATGCTGGTAGTCGTAACAATAGAAAGAAAAGCGTGCTATTCAAAAGAGCAACCAGAGTTCTTCAAAAACGATTCTTTCAAGGTGTGCACAGCGTCTCAATAACGGAAAACTGCCCTTGAAAAGTTTTATCCAAGGTGTACTGGTGCTGGGCAATTTGAACTCACTTTGCCTCATACTGTTCCTGTTTCTTGTTTTTCCTAAACAGTAAAAAATGCTAATATTTACTGATCTTTAAATAGTCTTAACAGTTGTACTGTCAACACAACTGCCGCCACCAGTGGCCTGACTGACTGTCATTAAAGTTTGACGATAGATCTCTTGCAACACAATCCTCACAAGCTCACATTTCTAACTCTGTTGTTTCAAGCCCCTGCCAGCCAGTTTCCACTGAAAACTGATTTTCAGCAATGGTCTGTAAACACTGATAGGTTGCAATTTAGCATAGTAAAAAAGTGTTTTGAATCCACCAGTTTTTTATTCTCTACTGTACACAGTGGATGAGAACAGTGGAGGAAAACAGTACTGGTGAACTAGCCTTGACATTTACCAATCAACCTGTCATTTAATTAAAATAAAAGCAGCTCCAGTCTGCTGAACGGTTTTGAAACGGTCTCCTCTCTTCTCGATATCGATTTGAACTTGACTTTGAAAATGTCACTGCAAACAATGGAATTGTGGGTAATGGGCACTACTGTCCGTAGAGCGAGACCACCACCAACGTGGGGCGGAGGGCCGACCTTGAAGTGGCGGCAGCTGTGGGCGCCACTGCAATCGGTACTCTTGCAAGAGCAGAGAAGAGGAGAACAGAATAACAACCTGGAGGTAGAAGTGTTGTAGGTGTTTTAGGCACACAAACACTCGCAAATGTAGGTCAGTAAGTCGAACTGATAAGGGCTAGTTAAACAGAAGAAGTAAAATGAAAAATGATAGAATCGCACTTCCTCACGGAAGCTTTCGGAATCTACTTTGAAATAGGGGAAGCGAAACTAATCTCCAGAGATAGTGATACGTACCTTCAAACAACCCCGTTTTTGTTTTTCAGCAAAAAGAGACATTCTATTTGAAGATAAAGTCTGGGAAGGAAACTGATACTGCAAAGGTTCTCATTGCAAACAGAGACAGCAGCAAAAGCTGATTGCAGCTAATGGTTTCAAGGTAAAGAAAGGAAAGAAACGGCAACAATGTGACTTTCCATAAATGTCATCGCAGAGGCAGTGGGCAAGTGGTAACAGTGAATTGTACATCAGCAGCAGTGATCGGCAGCCTTAATCGAATGGTAAATACCATCTCTGCAGCAAATGGCACTGTCACCAAAAGCCACCAAACTCAGCCAATCAGCAGTACCCCGTCAGTACCGACGTCAGCTATTGTGCTGACATTTTACGAATCAACTAGTGCAAATCTGGCAAATGAAAGCCACCAGATGACTAAATAATAATAGTACCGACAAAAGAAAGGTTTGCAAATCCAAATAGAGAATGACTTTTATTTGATATTTTGGTATCGAGGAGTCTTTCACCACCACCATTTAAAAAGTGCAGTGGCGCAAGAGTTCGAAATGTTAAGAGAGGGAGAATGAGAGAGTGAGAGAGCATATAAATATATTAGGATTTGTATGTCAAATGAGAGAAGAAGTTTGGTGGTGCTGGCATAAGAATAGGGGATAAGAAGTCTTAAATAAGAAAAATTTGAAACGAGACCGAAGATAGCCGTTCAGGTAGAACGGAAGATCAAAATGAAAATCAAAAACAAAAAAAGAAAGAAAGAAAAAGTATTGGTGGAGTTGAAGGTGGTTGTCTACGGCGAGAAAGAAAGAGACAATGGTTATAGATGTATGCGACGAAAAGGAGAGAAAATGTGCGAAGACGATGAAAGGGAGAAAATGTAATAATGTACAGGAAGAGAGAAAGGTGAAAAACAAAAACTTCTATGAACAGATATAATATAAGAGTGCGTGGAGAGAGGATAACAGGATTGCGACTAAGAAAGAGAGCATAGTTTTTAAACATTCAAGTTCGGGATTGCATCGGTAGAAGAAAGAGGAGAGTTTGAAATGGAGTATGGTGCATTTGCATAGAAGAAGAAGAAGATAATGATGATGATGATGTGCCTGTGAAGATCCTGCTGTGAAGATTGTGAAGAACGAGGAGTTAGCGGAAACGTCGCTCGTAATGAGTTGGGTGTGTGTGCTGTGATGTGAGTGTGTGTGTGTGGACCGGGGTGCCGGGCGCTGGACAAAGGCAAAGAGTGAAAGAGAAGAAGAGATGAAGTGGGCTGCTCGGCTGAGGAGAGAGCATTTGTACCAACGGCAAAGAGAGAGAGAATCTATGTACAGTGAGGCGCTGAGTTGAGAGAGAGGAGGTCAGAAAGAAGATCGGGCTTGGCCGGGTTTGAGAAAGAGGATCAGGTTAAGAAGAGAGAACTTGTACTTCATTTGGACCAGGTGTGTGTGTGTGTTTGTGTATGTTCACTGAGCATCATCGTCATCGACTGCCACTGTCTCCACTGTCTACGCATCGACTTCCATCTTGAGGGAGTTGGAAGAGGCAGAGGAGGGGCAGGAGATGACCGGTAAGGATTGCCTGAGTGTGCTGCCCACGGCGGGACAGGCTGCTTTCTTTGAGAGGTTCAGCGGCTGGGCGTCATCCTGGTCATCATGGTGCGAAGGGGAGGCCGCAGACGCCGGAGAGCGCTGGTGCACCAGAGCCGGAGCAGTGGTCGCCGTAAGACAGCGTGCCAGGTGCGAGTAGGGGGAGCCCATAGTCTGCTGCTGGTGATGGTAGCTGGCCGAGGGGGAGACCATGACCACTGGCGAAGAGTGCTGCTGCTGTCCTGAAGAAGAGGAGGAGGGCATGGGCACTGCTGCTCCACCCGACACCGAGACCATTGGGGGCGGTGGCACCGAAGAGCCAATGACTAGAAGACCGGCAGCGGCGGCAGCCACTTCCGGGGACTTGGCAAAGTGTGCAGGCAACTGATAGGTTGAGGGAGAAGAGGAGGAGGAGGGCGACGCCGAGGATGAGGGGACCGCTGCTGCTCCTGAAGCACTTCGACCGGTAAAGGGACAGACTGCTGGCATTTGGTGGTGAGGGTGGGCGTGGTGGTAGAAGCTGGCACCGGCTGGGTACAGGGAGTCCTTGGCGGAGGCACCACTGAAGAGACCATGCTGGTAGACCGGCGAGGACAGCTGCGCCGCCACGGGGACGGAGGCGGAGAGGGCGGAGGCGGCGGCGGCCGTCACTGCCTCGCTGTTCATGATGATGTTGTGAATGAGATCAGTTCGCTTGAGTTGCTGTTCGCTGAGGTACCGCGACGGCTGCTCCAGTGTCTTCAGCAGCGTACTGTGCGTCGAGGCGAGCGAGGAGGAGGAGATCGAGGAGGAGTTCGGCGCCGGCGGTGAGGAGGTGACCACGGTGGCCACCGGCGAGGGCAGCGGCGAGTGGCTGCCGCTGTGACCGGTGGTCGTCGAGGGACTGTGCGGCTCGGTGTCTCGTCGTGCGGCCGCCCTGAACTTCTTGTGATGGCGGTACGCCTCGTCCATCAGCTTGTTCGTGTTCACCAGCGGCGGCGCCTGCAGGGCTCGCTTGAGGACGGGCATGTCGTCAATCGATTCCTGCTTCTCACTGCACTCCGAGTCGCTGGAAGAGGAGGTGAGCGCACTGCCGCTGTGGTCCGAGTGGCTGCGAGGACTGCTGCTGCCGGCAATGACCACCGACAGTTTGCTGCACTTGGAGGAGGACTCCTCCACCGGACAGACCGCAGAGGAGCGAGAGGGACTAGAGCAGACGGAGGAGGAGTGGTGGTCGATGCCGGAATCGGTGGGCGAGTCGACGCGGTGCTGCTGCTGCTGTTGCTGTCCTGAGACAGTAGTGCTCAGCTGGTGGTGGTGGCCGTTGACGGGGTGCTGCACTGGCTTGCTGTACGGGTGCAGATGATGGCTGGAGTTGTAGTGAGAACTCGCCGTCGAGGCGGCGGCCTCCTCCGAGCTGACCACCGCCGGACAGTGGCCGTGTTCGCTGCTGACCACCACCGGCGAAGAGAGGCCCCGGACGTAGCTGTTGATGTAGGCGAGCTTCGGCGGCGCCGAGGGCAGCGAGATGGAGCCCTTGCGAGAGTGCGAGTCCTCACTGCTCACCCCACTGCTGCTGGACATGGATCGAGGCGAGCCGAAGGCCTGAGAGTCAGAAGAGCTGCTCTGCTGCTGCTGCTGCTTCTGCTGGTGCTCGCCCCAGGGGCCGCTGGTCGGCGAGACGGAGCGACCGTCCTCGGTGCTGGTCGCCGGTGAGAAGTGGCCCAGTGAGCTGGAGGAGGACCAGCGGTCGGAGGGTGAGTTGTCCGAGCTGTCCGGCTGCTGCTGTGAAGACTGACTGTGGTGGCTGTGGTGGGAGTGCACTGCTGCTGCGCCCGAGCTGGCCATCTCCTGATGGTGATGATGATGATGGTTGGTGGTACTGCTGGCCACTGACTCGCCGGCGATAAAGTTTTTGCCAATCAGCTTCTCACTGTGCAGCGTGTTTAGCGTTCGCAGGTCGGGAATCTTCTTGGTGAGCTCAGTGAAGATCAGCTGTCCACTGGCGACGTCATTGGGGTGGTTGCCGGCAATTGTCTTCTGCAGAACCTCCTCCAGACGCTTGTTTATCTTTGTGACGAGATCAACGTTTCGGAGACCGGGACGATCTGAGAAGATAGTGGAGAAAGAGGGAAAGAAAGAAAGAAAAGGATGGAGATCAGCACTAATGAACAAGAACACGGTGCAAAAACATTTGAATGAATGAATGAATGAGGAACACAGGCAGATTGAAGCAACACCGAACACAAATGATCCTTTCACTCTAGCAACCACTAAATGACTAAAAAGGAAAGAAAGAAGAATATCCGCCACAAGCTGTTGCTGCTGGTGGTGGCCAAAGAAGGGGAGGGGCAGAGAAGGGGCGGACTAGCTAACTGATAGAGTGACTGCTTGCCTGGCTTTCCGAAGACTGTCTATATCATAGAGCGAGTGAAGCACATGGCAGTCTGCTGCTGCTGTCGTCTGCTGTTTGCTGTGGCTAGCTGACTGTCGTACTGCCATTGCCGCCACCACCACCACGTAGTGCCACTGCCTGATTGAGCGAGCACTGTTTGGTGGTGGCAGTGGCACGCACACTGCCGACACGAGGTCGAATCAGCTCGCGCAACGAGGATCTAGGTCAAGGAAAGCTGAGTAGTAGGGAGCTGAGAGAGTAAACGGTATGGGAGAGAGTGAGAGCAGACGACAGCAGAGAAATGGTATCTGGTGCAGAGAGTGAAGGAGTGAGCATGCTGAGATAATGGACAAATCAAGGGCACAACCTTGCCTGGCATTTCACACAGGCAGGCAGACAGACAGAGAAACACCGAAAGTGCCTGTCTCTGTTGGTCACCGCCGCCGCTATCGCCTTCCACCAACTGTCTGCAGAATAGGCATTGTCTATATAGGCATTCAGCGTATTCATTCATATCCTAAGAGGACTACTGCTGCAGCTGCTGCTGCTGCTGAAGACTTATCAAGGCTGTCAGATTCCTTATCCAGTGGTGAAGGACACCGGGAAGTGGAGCCGTTGCCGCAAAGGAAGCCAGGAAGCCTGTTTGTTCAAGTGTCTCGCAGTGTTTGCCTGCCTCTCTTGCGTATGTGTCGATTGAATAGGGAAGACTGGTGTAGAGAGAGAGAGAAAGAGAGAAAAGAAACATGCACTTACCAGGAGCGATAACGACCACGGCGCAGAAGAGGCCTATCTCATGGTCGGAAAGACGAAGGGAGTTAAGTCGCTCGGCAAAGTCGAACATCGAGTCGAGGAGGAAGCGGGCGTTGGAGGCCGAGTGCAGGGCGTCACGGCGGAGCACCAGGCCGTTCAGGCAGACCATCGACGCTGAGGGCGAGTCGAACATGCAGGCGAGACGCACGAGCAGCACTTCAAAGACGCCAGCCTGCAGAGAGTGAGGAAGAAAGAAAGCACAAAGTATTAGTAAAACTCAGCACTAGTGTGCATCTGTGTACAGTACAACATTACCTTGAGAAGTGTGACCTGGTCTTCCTGCGAGAGCATACCGAAACCGGGAATGCGCTTCGCAAAGTCGACCACGCCGCGGATCGCCGGACTGAATCGTTCACTAAAGTCCTCCAGGATGCGCGCCGACTGCGCTGGATCAAGTGTGCCAATGGGAATTGGATTGAGTGGACACGTCTGTGAGAGGAAGAAAGAAAGAAGGACAGAGAAAGGTTAGCAAAACGATAGCGTCAATGATTTTCACATTTATAAACTTTTGTCTAACATTTTCCCAGCTAGCTTTTCCTTCAGCATTTACACACACACAATCAACGCAAGTATACTAAAATAAAAACAACAACAAAATCAAGGTTACAAAGAACGTGTGTGTGTGGTGGTTGTGCCTTCGTTGCCTAACACCAGCGTCGGGAAGTGAGCACTGTTGAGCAGTGAAAGTGGTGAAAAAGGAGAAACACAAAAAGAAGAAGAAAAACCCTACAGCAAACAACACAATCGAACGGTGGCCATCAAACATAGACGTTGAAAGTGAGAGAGAGAATTTCCCCTATTGTGTGACACATTAATTGGCCTGCCGAGGCAGCAGCAGTAGTCTATGGATTGTGTTTGCTGTGCAGGGTCGTCAGTTTGCATAGTGACTGCACCTAAAGGTCACTACTAGTAGTTGGCTGACCTTCTCACTCACTCACTTTTTTCTGCCGACCCTTTTTTCGTGATCATCAAAAGGTACTGTATCATCGACTACCACCATTCACACTACCATTCCACTCTGCTGACTCTATTCACCAGTATTTCTCTTTTAATTAGCAAATTATGGAAACGATTGGCCATGGCGATGAAAAGTGCCATCACATCGTACGAGTGCCAACTGCACAGCTCGAGGAACGGGGAGGTAGTAGGTGTGACCTTGCAGCCGCCATATCTGGGGGATTTTTAGTCAGTCAGGCAAAAACAGCAGTTAGTGCGGAGGTACTGCTGATAAGAAGGAGGAGGAGAAAGAGGAGAAGGCAGTGTACAGAGGAGAGAGGTGGTACGTGCGTGAGCGGCGCTACTCGGAACTTCCCATTGTGGACCAGTGCGAGACTGGTGCACCGAGCAGGAGGCAGGAGAGAAGGTCAGCGAGAGAGAGTACCGAAAGTGCCGCCGCTAACCGGTGTACAGCAGAATGCTGCCTGTGAGAGTATGTGTGTGTGTGTTTGTGTGTGTGCACAAGTGGCCCTTAAAGTATACTCCACTCGAATCAACCACTGCTTCGCTTCAGCACAATGCTATATCCTCACTGCTAGCAACAGTGCTCCACCGCCGATCGATGCTCTGCTCTCTACATAAAAGATGAGAGAACGACCATCGGCGGCGCGGTCACCTTGGCAGTGAACATCAGAACAGCCGCACAGAAGCAAACATCGAAAAAGGCTGCACCTGTACATGAGAGCGAGCATCCTTTCGCTGTCACTGCCTCATCACCCCTCCACTACCCTACCACTCCATCAAGGCTTTGGCCGTGAAGAAAGGAGCAACGGCAATGCAATCCACCACTACCCCTCTCTCTTCAAGAGCAGAGGGTAGCGGCGGTAGGCAGTTGGAGGTCGAGCGCCCTGCAAGGTTGTACAGCTACAGCAGCGACTGCCGCCTCTCCGCCATCATCACCTGCTCACTACTGCCACCACTGCTGTGACAATCTCACCTTGGAATGCGCCAACACACTTGCTGGCTGATGTCTTCTTCACACTGTCAGCAGTAGCGTCGTCATCGACACTTGCTTTCTGCATCACCACTCTCTTCCCGCGCTATATACGTCACAGCAGTGGTTGTACAGTGCAATATCAGAAAAAAGAGTGAGAGCGAGAGACCTTGACATTGGCATTGATTTGCAGGCAGGCAGCAGCAGACGGTGGTGGTAGTGAAAGAAATTACACGGAGATGCGCGCGCTCGCCTGCCAGTCTGCCGCCCGTGAGCAGTCGAAGAGAAACATTGTAACTGAGGTGCTGTGCAGTGCACTTCAACTGATTCGACTGTACGACAGCGGCAACGAGATTAGTTAGTCTGTGAGCAGCACGCTCTCCTGTACGGCCGCTCTTCAACTGCTTGAATCGGCTGCGGCAAGGAATGCCAAGCACGAGCCAGCAGCAGCTGCTGCGGAAAGCCAAGGCAAAGTGTGAAGAAGAAGAAGACTAAATGAGAGCATATAGCAACTTTGTCGGTATTAGACAACTACTGGTACTAAGGCAGTGGCAGTTCTGCCATGCTGATGAGGATGAAGCACCAATGGCGTCGTCCATGAGGGAACATCAAAGAGAGCGAATCAGAATGAGAGAGAGAGGCCACCTTTGAAGGAAAGTGGTGGAAATGCCAGCAGCAGCAGAAAACTGGTCAGCAATGTTGCCGTGCTCATCAATTACGCTGTTTGAACAAGCGGTGGAAAACTGCTGTACAACAACACATCTTCCGATAAGAGAATGGGCACACACACATTTCTCCGCCAACTACACGTGCACTTTCCGTTATCAGCTGTACATCTTCATCTGCGCACTATCTCAGCACTCTCATTCACTTACGTGGATGCATATTTCTCGCTACTAATCATCATCCTCATCAGCAAGAGTACTAGTAGCGCTGCTCTACTATCTATCCGCTTCCCCTACCCTTTTCAACTGATAATCAGCACAACCACACACACACAGTGTTCTTTTTGTGCACAAAGTCAAGGTTGCCTCCTGTCGCCAAGCGGCTGTGCACAGATTGGCCCTGAAGCACAACCGGCACTAGGCAGTGTGTGTGTTTTGTCTGCACTGTACAGCAACTTCACATAACGGTGCAGAAGAAGTGCCTCAGTGCCACTAGTGACGCAACTGAGAGAGAGAGAAAGTGCGAGCACTCGCCCACGGTTCAGCGGCTAAGCTAAGCCAGGCGCTAGTTCAGCATTGACCGTAACAGTTGTGCACCGGTTATTTCCAGATCGATTTGGGGGTGAGGAGAGAACTGATGGAGGAGGCAGAGAGGGAGAGAGGAGCCGTGCCGTATGCTGTACAAAGAAAAGTATGTACCGCTCTTTCTCTCTCTCTCCGATGAGCCGCATCCATGCACAGCTAATTGACGATGCGCGCCAGTGTACTGCATCGTCTCCTTCACGCCTCCTCTCCCAGTTACCATAACCACTTCCCCGGTAAAGTGCACACACGCACGCACCCACTGGACGCATCGATTTGCCTGGAAACCGCCTGACCTTAACACACACAGAGTGAATGAGTGGTAAGCGGCACTGAAAAAGTGCTGGCATACACGGCACCTCCTTGATTGAAATGTTAAATGTTAAGCCTGAGATTTACCGAGAAAGAAGATGGCGTACGGTAGTGGTGGTGGTAGTCGAGTATTACCACTCTATAGCTAGGTACGGTGCATCAACTAATGCGCGCCCTAGAAGTAGCAAACAGTGAAAGGAGCCCTAAGCAAAGAGTACTGCTCTAGTGCGGAAGTGAACAGAAGAAGAAGATGAAACAAAAAGAGTGCAATACTCACCATTGATGGGGGACACTGAGCGTACACTGGGCGACTGCGAGCAGCCTCCAGCAGTGGGGCCACCTTCTCTCGGGTGTAGTCGCAGGTCTCCTCGTGAGCCGTGGCGATGGTGACGCTGATGCACTGTTCATCCTCCAGCACTGCCGACAGCGCCTTGTCCAACGAGTGGGCGTTCACCTTTTGCATTGCAGCGAGAATCTTGGCCTTTTCGCGTTTTGGGACACGTCCGAACCGGACGGCTGAAAAAGAGGGAGAGAGGAACAAAGATGGTTAGTCAATCGGATTGGAGAAAAAGGGGAGAGGAAAACAATGTTGCGCGCAAATTCAAAGCATGTAGTGAAAAGTGTCTATAAAAGTGCGCCCACCCTTACATTCATCGCTACTCTCATCATCATCTGACTCCTCAATGACTTCCACACTCGGTGGACGTTGCTGCTGTTGTTGTTGCTGATGATTATGGCGTTTGTGATGGTGCTGGTGCTGACTGGCAGGCAGTCCAGCCGACTCCAGTGCAGCGTTCAAGTGACAAACAGTGGAAAGTCCATTGCTGTGCACTGGCTCACAGTTACCGTTGGCTTGCTGCTGCTTCTGTTGCTGCTGCTGTTGAACAGCCACTCCATAAGAGTTGTTGCCCTTTTTGCCCATCTGGTGGCCATTGTGGTAGCCGGTGATGGTTCCTTTCATCAGGTAAGTACTGAGCAGAGGCATGGACGCGGCCAGTGAGTTGTGAGATTCATTCTGGTGCGCCCCGGCGACGGCCGCCACTTGTGGGGCACTCGGCGGCGGCGGGGGCTCGCGAATGGCACTGCTCCCATTGATGCCGTACGAGCGACTAGTGAACGCAGATGAGGATGAGGAGGAAGCAGACACTGCAGCACTGCGAGACTTGGGCGGTCGACCGAGGGCAGAACTGCTGCCTCGACCTCTGCCACGACCTCGAGTGGTCGAAGTGGTGGAGGTCACTGCCGACGAGGTGCTGCTACCCACACAAGAATTGCCCTCAGTGAAGGCGTACACATCGACTGGTCGTGGCTGCTGCTGCTGCTGCTGATTCTGATGTTGATGGTGGTAGTGATGGTTGTGGTGCTGCTGCTGCTGCCTGGGCTGACTACTGACACTGACCAGATTCGGGTAAAAGGAGGAAGAGGAAGAGGACTGCTGCTGCTGCTGCTGCTGTTGCAGCTGTGGCTGACTACTGCCACAACCATTGACTGAGACCAGTGGAGGCGGCAGCTGAGGAATGGCAAAGGTTGACGGCTTTGCCGAGGATGCCGCCGCCGCCGCTGATATGGCCGAGTAGAGAATTGAGGAAGTCAACGAGGACTTGCAGTTGTTGGACGGCGAGGACGAGGAAGTGCCCTGCTCACTGGAGGTCGAGGAGGAGGCGGCCGCTGCGGCTGCCAGCTTGGCCGCCAGAAAACGGTGACCAGCACTGAGCAGCAGCGCAGAGGACGGCTGCGGCCCCAAGTGGTGCCCATAGTAGGCCTGATCGTTAAAGTGATTCATGGTAGTGGTGGTAGTGAAGGTGTTGGTGATCACCCTTCAAACACGAAGGAGAAGAAGCAGAAGACAGCTGCTGCTTCTGCTGATAATCGTTGCAAGTGAAAGGAACACTAGTCAGCGAAAGACGCTCAACGACAATGAGAAGGGAAGAAAAGAAAGAGAAGATGTTGCAGGCGACAGGAGAGGAGTAATTGCTGGTCAAGATCATGGCCACACTGCACGTCGCGCGTCAGTTGTTAAAGAAGAGAAGGAGAGAGAGAGAACACGATATCGGCAAGTGTGACACTGCCGCCGACTAGGTGGCGAATGGTGGCCACTAATGGTGCGGCTGCTGGTAGACAGTCACACTGACAGAGAGAGTGTCGAGGAACGTGAAAGAGAGGAAGAGAGGAAGAGAAAGTCTGCGCCAGAAAGCGCTTCGACGGTGCTGTTGGGCGCCTGGCGTTCAGGAAAAGTGCCACTACCAGTGCTGCACCTCGAACTACCACTCTTAAAAGGGAGAGCGAGAGAGCGTCGGCTGCTGCACGCGTCGCTGCCGCCGCAGTCGATGACGATGGACGTCGACTCAGAGAGTGGAGTGAAGCGGCCGTACAGCAGACTGTGGCAGACAGCAGTCAGCGCTGACGAGTGAGTCCACTCAAGGACTACACCACCACCGCCATTACCATTACCACCATTACCATTACCAGTGGCAGCGTATGGGCAAGCTCGATACGCTCAACGCTTGGGCGACAGCAGCAGCAGCAGTGTTCCAGCAGCGAGAGGAGCAACACCTTCACTTGGTCAGCAAGATTCGGAAAGGCCAAGACTGACGGGTAGCGATTGGATCGGAAAGGATGCAGCAGCCACTACTGCTCCGACTCGGCCAAAGCCCTAGCAGCAGCAATGCCCAGCAGAGAGGAGACTGAGTGAGCACGACCAACTCAGCAGAAACGCGTCACCATCACCAGGCAGCAGCAGTAATGGCAAGCACCCATGGCACAGTCGTCAGTGCGCGAATGCCAAACCATTTTCAAGGCCCCTTTCCTTCTTCTCCTCTCTGACAGTAGCTGCTTGCGTCTGTCGGTGTGTGTGAGAGTTTGTGAGTGTGTTTGTGTGCCTACACTTCAGCTCCCTGCACGGACACATTGGATTGCATCACCAGCTGATGACGCCGACGCCGCTTAGCAGCAGCCAGACCAGTGAGGAGCTTCTTCACCGTAGCTTTGGCAGTGCGTCAGAGCAGCTCCCAGAGACAGCCAGAAAACTGAGCTGAGCTGAGCTGAACAGTGACAGTCACACCGGTGAACATGCGGCTGTACACTGTACAGCCGGCACTGAGGATACTGGGTTGAGGTGTTTCAATGGGCTGAAGCAATGACGCCGACTGAGGCACAGACACCGTCGCCGACGACTCCTCTGCAGACGAGAACTCTTCGACAGTTGCCACAGCTGCAGCAGCCGCAGCGATTGCCACCACCAGCGGAAGCAGAATGAGCAGTCCTTCTCGGAAAAGAAGAAGAAGAAGACAAAAAGGGCAATTGCTATGCACTATTTCTATCCCTCTCTCCCTTTCTATATTTTCTCACCTCTGAAGAACTCAACCAATGCCGACAATGCAGAGAATGTCTACTGGCAGTTGGCAAAAACAAGAATTATGTAATGTACGGCGGGAAGAGGATAGCTCACAACGGCATGTAATCCGCATCATCTCTTGTCTGAAGGTCATCGCCAGCCAGTCAGTAGAGGTAGACGCTGCTCAGCTCAAAAACTTTCCACCCCTCATCCCCTCTAGCTAAAGGTCATCTAATCAGCAACAGCAGCAGCTCAGTGGGCGTCATTGTTGGGCAGCACTTGAGGGAGGCAGGCAGGCAGGCAGCTTCCTGGTCTGTGTGTGTGCAATGTTTGCTCAGACCACTAGCAGCCGCTTGTGTTACCCATAAAATTTGTTAGCAGTTGTTGCAGCCATCGTCGATAAGGATCGCACCTCTTTGATGATGGGCAACATCAGCATGATCCTGAGCATCGCCACTGACACAATGCAGAGAAGAAGAAGTACCGTCATCTGTCGATCACACATTTCCCTCTCATCTACTGAACAACACTCTCAGTGTAGTTTGACTAGCCTTGAGCTGCTTTCGCAATCCACATTACACAGGCAGGCACTCTCTCAGAGTGGTACTCTACTCTTACTAACAAGCAGCAGCACCAGGCCAGTGGCAAGGTCGCCGAGAAAGAGAGAGAGAGAGAGAGAGAGAGAGAGAGAGAGAGAGCCAATAGGAGCAGCAACAGAAATGGTAATCATCAGTGGCAAGTGTCGACTAAGATAACACACAAGACATACACAGTCGTACAATACTGGTGAGCACACTGGCACTGTACACACCGTTAGACTGCTGCTGTGGAAGACAGTGCAGACGGCAGCCCACCACCATCAAATGCTCAAGGCTGCTTGCCTTATTTTCAAGTTCACTTCGAATCAGCAGTAGCGGCAGCAGCAGCCTTTCATACCGAGTACGGTACCGAAACCCAAGCAGAGGCAGCAGCAGTGGCAGCAGTGGCAGAGCCTGTACGACTGTACGGCAGAGTGGCAGAGCAGCACACTGTGTACCACTGTATAGCAGCAGTGCTCACTGTGTGCGGAGAGAGAGAACGGGGAATGAAAGAGCGGTGTACGGCAGCCGGGAGGACTGTGCTAAACCAGCCACCTAAAGAGCGACCTTGACATTCATCATATTGTCACTACTCACTTCAATTGCAGTTTCTTTCTCTCTCTCCACTCTTTCGTAGTAGACACAAAGTATATCGCTCTCTTAAAATAGTCCGAAGGCTGCCAGCAGCAGCAGCCACTACTACTAACTGGCTGATGTGCTACGGCTGTACACAGCCTTATCGGCATGTTTTCCAATGAAAACGACCGATTCGTTTGGTACTACTGAGAGACTGACTGGGAGAGCAAACGGGAGGCTTGCTCTTTCTCTGCAAACCAGGGCCACCCAAGGGTGAATGGGATTGCTCAAGAGACACAGCCTGCCCGATGCGTACGTCAATGGATGGGCAGCAGAGTGAGTGGATGGTGGGCACCGCTGAAACGAACAAGAGAGAGAGAGAGAGAGAGAGAGAGAGAGAGAGAGAGAGAGAGAGAGAGATGATGGCGACAAACACTGCGGCATCCAAAACACAGCCCTGGCCTGCACTCTCTTTGCCTTTGAAAGGGGTCCCCCGAGCGGCGGCGGGTCCCGTCTTGTGACTTCATCATCATCACCATCATCATCTCCTACTTCCTCCGCCCTCCTTCTCCACCTGAGACACTCAGTGGCTGTTGCCCAAATTTCAATTGCCTCTCTTTGGTAAACAGACAGTTCCGACAAACAAACTTGTACAGTGGCGCGCGCGCCTGGTAGCACAAGTGCAATCGGCGGCGGCGGCACCAGGAGTGCTCTTTGCCTGAGTAACACTGCCATCCACTGACTCACTACTCAAGGATTTAAGCGGAAAAGTGCAGTGGCAACAACAACAACAGCATCATCTGCACTACATTAACCAGAAACGACCAGAATGGCTGATGACTGACTGGTAAATACACCGACGAGGATTTGACCATCTAAGCTGGCTTGCATTGCCCGGAAAGGTGGCTGTGTTTGACAAGAAAACAGGCCAACACACTACTGCCTGACGATCGATCTCGCCACTTTCGATTGCGACACACTCCAGAGCAGGCTAGGCTGCTGCTGCTGCTGCGGTGGTTGCTTCAAAGTGCACTCAAATCGACCAGATAGCTGACGAGAGAGTCACTGCAATATAACACCAGTGTATGTGCACAAATGGCGCCCGATTCAAATAAATGGCTAACGATGACTAGGGCGCCATCTAATGATGGATATCAACACTGGTGTGCTTTGAATTCGCAGATGGGCGCAAAAATAAGGAAAAGAAAAAGAAGAGCACTTACCATCTCGTGACATGCCAACGGCGATGCATTTCTTCAGCCTGCAGTACTGACAGCGATTGCGATTGATTCGTAATATGGAGCATTGCTGGTTCTTTGTACAGGGGCGGTACTGAATCTTCTGCTGGATGCTGCGACGGAAGAAACCCTGTGAGGAGGAAGAAGAAAAATAGAAGTGTTAGAAGTTTGAAACGTTGCAAACAACTCGTTTTATTAAACAGTGACAAAAGTTCTATAATCTCTCTTTGTGTTCTAAAACTCAACAATATGCAAATTAAAGAAGACAGCCGGTTAGTAAGTAAGCTGAGGGAGCTTTCTTAAAATAGCTCCTTCAAGGTCAGAGGTAATGTCTTCAGTGGGCAAGTGTGCACGAGAAGGGCTTACAAGGTCACGAGGTCGTCGTCGTCGGGGCAGTGAGAGTAGCTGCAAGAAGAGTTGCAGCCCAGAGAGGCCCCTTTGGCCCCTCACTGCTGCAGTTGCCTTGCGGCACTCACCGCACGAGCTCTTTTACTCTTTGACCTTAACCTTGCCAGCTTTGCTCATACAACTGGGACCCTTTAAGGGGAGAAAGAAGGACAGTCTAAGAAAAGCAGCAGCGTAGTGACTCTTTCTTAAGACGGCGTTCTCCTTTTCTTAAGAATGCGAGCAATTCCCAGAAACAGAGAAAGGAAAGTAGGGTGTGCTTTACTCTGCTACTCGGTTTCTTTTCCTTCTGGCAGGCACACCGATTAAGACACTTCCAAATAAAAACGTCAGGACTACAGGGGCCAACAGCTAGCAAAGGCAAATCTTTTTGGGGTAAATCAGTGACTGAGTGACTGACTGTGAACACCTTACGATGATGTAGAGAAAGAACGAGAGGGAGAAAGAGAAGAGAGAAGAGGAGAGCGAGAGAAGGGGGAAAACTCGTTCACCTCAGCGACGACCTTCGTTGCTGAAAAAGGCAGAAGAAAAGGGAGAGAGAGAGGAGCACGTCACGGGAGGGGAACAAGTAGTAGTACCCTCGCTGCGAAGCCGGTTGATTGAAGCAAAGGTAGGGGAGCAGCGGCGGCAGTGTCATCGACCCAATGCCTTTGCAGCGTCTTTCCCTCTGACCATGAACTCAATTTTCAGTGGGCAAGTGAGGATGGGGACAACCTTTGCCATCTTTCACCCGCTGCACTCCTGCTCCTCTTTCGCTCTGGGTGGTAGCTGCCCTGGCTGCGCTCTGCTGGCCTCCTCGCTCAGTAGGCTATCTGGCCACTGCTGCTGAAGTCGTCTTCCGTGCTTCGCCGATCAGCTCTCAGGTGGCGCCAGTGCATTGCTACTCCACTCAGAGTACCATATTCACCGCACAAATCAGCTCAGGTTCATTGAACGCTTTTCAAGGGCAGCAACAGCAGCTCTCTCCTCTCTTTCGTTCGACAGCAGTGGGCCAGCAGAAATGCTGCCGCTGCTATGTGCAAAGTGCACCAACTACCACCGCTGCCTAAACGTTTCACCACTGGCAGCACTGGAAGCGGACGATTCTGCTGTGAGCTGCAGTCAGCACGTGCTATATAATCTGGTGCTAAGTTTAGGTTTCACCACCATGAGCATCTGCTGAAGATGCCTGTTGTAAAAGTAGGCGAACTGAACTCGTCGGAGGTGACACTGACCGATATGAGTCACTAGTGTGTGTCAAGAATAAACTAGTAAGAAGGAGGGGGTGGCTGGTGAACGGTGTTTGCACGCTGGTTCTGTGCATGGCCATTCCTGAGGTGGGAATGCCAAGCTGGGCCATTACGCCCGCCGCCGTCACTGGCTGCCATTTGGCACTGCTGAGTGCTAACACTCCTCCCCTGGTGACAGTGCCTCCTGTCTCCTGTGACAGGAGTCCTGTCTCCGAGTGCGTGAGTAGCCTCGTTTGATGATGGCGAGAGATGATAGGCCGCGGACGACAGACCAAGAGTGGATGGCTGTGTGTACGGCGGTGAACACATCATTACGCCGGCAGAAAGCTCAATGACCTGCCTGTGTTCTGGTAGCTGCTGCTGGTAGTGGTGGTTTGGGGGCGCGCTGATAAGTGTGATAAGGGCGAGAGAAAGGAGCATGAGGCACTGCTGCTGCTGCTAAAATTGGGTGAACACTGACACTACTGTACTGTACCACTACCAGCACTGTCTGACTGACTGCCTGGTAACACCGACAGCCAGCGCCTGAGTAAGTAGTACTGAGAAGGACTGAAAAACCCGACAAGACTGACTATGGCATAACACTACACCCAAATAAATAAAAGCATTATACATACTTTGCATCCCTCACAGCTGTGAACGCCGTAGTGAAATCCGGAGGCTTTGTCGCCGCACACCCGGCAGAGAACGGTGGTGCCGTCGAATTCTGTAGGTGAAAAATGAAAGGAATAGAAAGAATGGGATGAGTATTTGGAGTTGCAAAGCGATGATGGTAGTCGTAGTAGTGTTGAGGAGGTTGAGGAGTTGAAGAATGAGAAGATCAGACGAGTCGAATCTACTCTACTTTTGGCAGTTGAGCAGCTATCACACTCACCAATCTTAAGATCATTTAGATCTTTGCCACTGCCGACCCGGTCTGAGATCAGACCAATGTGGTCAGAGGCCGAATCAATGCCGGCAGACTGGCTGGCGGCTTGCATGCTGCTCAACAGCTGCAGATCCTTGTCGGTGAGAATCATTGTGGGGTGGTGTGTGTGAATGAGAAGAGGGGGTGGATATGAAGAGTAGATGATTATTCTTGGCTTTGAAAAGGCCAAAAGTGGAGAAAGAGCAAACGGTCACAGAGAGGGTAAAGAGGGTATATCAAAAGTGTTCCAATGAAGAGAGAATTGAGAATCGGTTTAGCAGGGATCACATTAATCGATGTTCTTTCAGTAAGACACACATCTTTGTACTGTAGTCATCAGTTGAGTGGTGGTGGTGATCAGAGCTGATCACACGATGAATATGAATTAGCAAAACATAAAACACAGATTTCTCACATGGCTTCAGAGAGAGAGTTTAAAAATAGAGACAAAGTTGTAATGCTTTTGGTGCGGCAATATTATTGACTGCAGCAGACAGATACAAACAGAGGCAGACAGCAAAGAGAAATAAAGAGAGAAAGAACGCGGATCGACGATGTGTCTCGTGTGAGGAGTGCAGTGCATGTGACGGCACCGACCGCTCGTCTCTGGCTTTTTATCAAGTCGGTGGGTGATTGCCACCACCACCACAAGTACTGCTTCTGTTGGTGCTGCTGCTGCTGGTACTCTGCTCTTACTCTCTGGCTGGTCATCCTCACTGGCAGTGAGATCGCGCGCAAAGAGGGGTTGCAGAAGAAGTTACGAGGGGACAACTGCCTCACTTACTGCCTGCCTGCTTGCCTTACTGCTTGTTAGCCTGCCGAAAAGAAGGAGAGCAGCAGTAGACGATATTTCAAGGTTGCCACACCACAGCACACACGGTGGACTGTGCTGACGGCACTGTGAAGGGTGCCACCGCTCCTTGACCGCCTTCCCGCCTGTGAAGGACACATTGGCAGAGTGAGAGAGGCAGAGGGGACGCTCTCCGTGACTCGCTCTCTGTGCACTCTCTGCTATGTCCTGGTCCTGGTTGTCTGCCGTCGGGGAAGAGGCACAGAGAACAAGAGGAGAAGCGCTCGAACCCCACTCAGTTCGACTTTCGCTCCTGATGGCGCCCAGTGCTGCACACACACACACGCAGGACTACGACTACCGACGCCCCCAAGAGTGTAGAAGCATCAACAATGTTACCACTACTACTACTACTACGACCACTTGCACAGTCGCTTCGACTACAGCAGCAGTAGTGGGGTCATTGCTCTGGCTGCCTGGTCGCGCATCAAACAGTGCCTACTACTACTTGTCATCCATCTACCAACCCTCGACTGGGGCGTAGTGGTGGTGGTGCTGATGGCGCCCGACTGGTTGTGCTGTGGTCGGAGAGAAGGGGAACAGGAGAAAGAGGCAAGAGAAAGTAACCTCAGAGTAAAGGGCATTGCACTGTCCCGTGGCCTGTGTCACTCTGGTAGCTGTTGTGCTCTGACGGTGTACGGCAATGGGCGCTCACATTTGCTCACTGTGCATCACCATCGCCATCATCATCACCCACTGGGGACATTGACGCTGATCATGAAAGAGAGCAAAGTGATTCGGGTAAAAACAAGAATGTACGAAACGATTCATTCAGTGCGACGGATTCAATTCGAAGAATTGAGGCCGTATAGAGTAGTGGGGAACAGTGAACAGTGTACTACCCTCTAATTTGAAGTTCGGTAAACAGGCACTAATGGCTTCAATTAGCTTCGCTTACGATCACTGCACCAGTGATCCTCCTTAAACTTCATAAGCCTCTAAGCTGGCAATTGAAAATTGCACTCAAATTGGCTCAGTATCTTCAGAACTTGTAGTGGTGATGGTGGTGCTTCCTTCGCTCGAATGACCTCACGCCTGGCGCTGAAGCAGAGAGGTCAGTGAGGCCGAGTGGCGCCCGCTGCAGCAAAGAGTGGTACCCTCGCCCTACTGGCCAGCAGTGGCTGCAGGATAGAGTGAATGCGCCAAATGGAAGTCATCGCTCCCGAGAGAGGGAGAGAGAGGGAGATAGCAGGCAACGGCGAACAAACCCCAGCAAACTCACAGCATGACCACTCATTAACCTTCTCGGGCGATGGGGCATCGCACTCTGCTCTTGCAACTATCACCACCACCACCACCGCACCGACCACAATGAAGGAGCGCCATTCGACTCCTCTACCATCTTCTACCATCTTCTTTTTCTTCTTTGCTTTCAATTCTCTGGTCACTGAGCGAGGTTACCCAGTGCAGTCGTTCAGCTGCCTTTACCCTGCAGCAGCAGCATCTGACGTCATCTCCTGGAGCAGCAGAAATGTCTTCACCGCCTTAGACTGTTGTCTTCTCCAGCAGTGGACGCCTGAGTGGAGGTAATCAAAGTAGGGTAGGACAAACAGAGCGAAAAACAACAACGAACTGCGAAGAGTGACGCCAACTGCAGACACAAATACACATACACATACACCGAGCAACATAGTAGCACTTAAAGCACTGCAGAGGCAAATGAACTCCAACGAGGGTACTGAAGATGAAGAAAAAGAAAAAAGAAGAAGAAGGAGAAGAAAGGCCAGTGAACAGGCGAGCAGGAGAGCAGGCAGACAGGCATGCAGGCAGATGGCTCCCGTGGTGGGTGAGAGGACGATAAGCATCAAAACTCGACAACGACGTTCACTTAATGCAAACCGACAAACACGATCGTTATGGGCACCACCATCACCAGAAAGACACCGCTGGGCTGCAGAGGGCACCAAACTTTTGGAACAGCAGTGTGTGTGTGTGTGTGTGCGGAATGCAAGAAAGTGGCAGTGTTCAGTTTGTGGATTTGGAGGGCAATCACTTGGCGCTGATGAGGGCAATAGCATGTGCACCGATTCTTATGGCTGCCTGCCTGACTGCCTGCCTGCTCGGGTGCCGCTCTGGTGGAAGACTACAAGTGCAACTGACAGCCACTGGCAGCCACTCCGCCGCCGACCACCGACCTCATCCATCAGAAGCAGAGAAAGAGAGAGAGAGAGAGGGAGAAATATCTCTGCCTACTACCCTTGCTCCAGATGCAGCAGTGCTCTCGCTCCGTATCTGGTCTCTTGTTTCTCCTAATATATTTGCAGGTCACTCACACTATCATTTGGTACCCTCGGCCAGTGGCCTGCAGAACAGTGGGCAAAGAAAGAGAGAGGTTCGTTCACACTTTCTCAACACAAACTTCCAATACTCTTGCAAGTGGAAAAGTACAGCCGTATGGTAAAGTTCCGAGAGACGGACTGATGCAGTGACCGAACACCTAAAGTAAACACTGGCTCAAGTGCAAGTTTGTGGATGCCACTGATTTCCCCCTCCTCCTCCACAAACTGCCAGAATACCCACACATACACACTTAGATTACGCAATTAGTCGGGTAGAAAACAAAGCGATCAAAAGTTGTCGGCAGCACTTCAAAGAATCAAGGAAAAAGAGAGAATCTTCTTAATCGGCACATCTCTTTCTCCGCTGTTCATCTCCATTTAATTCAATTTAACACTAGTCCTCCAATCGTCCACCGTCCTCTCCTCTTTGACTTTCGCATCCATTCGCTAAATTACGTAATCACCAAGGCGGGACGGACACAGTTGGGGATATGTTGTGTAGTTTGCCAAAATGCGTAATAATAGACACTCACTCGCACACACACACACCGTGATTGAGCATGAAAACGACGAAGAAGAAGAAGAAGACGAGGACGACGCGCTCTCAGCAACATTGTATTGGCACGCAACAGGGTCTTGACCTTCGCAGACGTCTACAGCGTCTACAACGTTGCGCTACTTGGAAAGCACTGCACTGCGCCGTCGAAGAACTTTCGCTTTTTTGTTCCCTTGGCATCCGCAAGTTTTTGCCTGCCTGCCTGCTCTCAAGGCATCTTCAACCTCAGAGTAAGGTCAAAGTGCAGGCAAGACGGTCAGCAGTGAGAGTCAGGCCACCGCATCGACTTGACCTCAGGTCACAGAGGCGAGCATTTGCTCTGCTTCCAGCCTTCCAGCCACTTGTCGTCATTGCCATCTCCATCGCCCTCGACGTCGTCGTGCCTTACTGTTGTTCACTCGCTCTGGAGGCCACCATTACTTCGAAGGCCAATGTTCGTCTGCTGGCAGTTTAGCACAGGCAAAGTACCACCTCACTCACATCGCTTCACCCTCCACTTCATCACACTACACCACACTACAAGTCATTCACACTTTCAGTTTGGCAAATGTTGAGAAGGGAGCTCTAAGGAACAGCAACAACAGCAGCAATTGAGGAGAGAGCCGCACACTGCGGATGACACATCGACCAGTGGGGTGATGGAGAGAGAAGAGACGCTTTCAATTTTAGGTCATTGTCATCGTCGATGGCCGCCACTGATGAACCACTGCATCTTTAGAGACGCATGCGTTTCTCAATGCAGCGCAGGGCAGCAGCAGAAATCAGGTAACGAACTAGAGAATTTAGTGAACAGGAGCAGCAGCAGCAACAGTAGCAGAAGTAGAAAGTGCTGCATTAAAACTGCAGCTACGACTACTACAAGAACTACAACTGCAAGCACTCACACAGGTAATAAATCAGCAAATTAGATCAACGGCAACCGCAGATAGCAGCTAGTGGGGAGCAATAAATCTTGCACTTTTCTTCATTCACAGTGAAAGTGTTAGCACGGTGCTGTGGACAGCGGACAGTAGCAGTTCTGTCCAGGGAAACCACAAAGCGACCCGTGTAAGCGTCCGGTCTGCTAGGTCTCCGACTTTCACCGACCGACCGACCGACGGCAATGTTCTCACCGACCAAACTACTGACCACACGGTGACAAGAGCGACTGCTAAAAAACAACACAAGGCAGCCAATTTATCTTTCAACGAGAAACGGGGAAACAGAGTTGCATAAGAATAGGCACAAGTTCAGCAAAGTGCTCACTGTGACTTCATTTGCTGAAGACAATCTCTCACTGACTGCCCAGTGAAAAATGGCCTCCCATTAGTCGAGTCAATAGAGACAGTGGGACAGACAGCTGGGGAGAGACACGTGTAGGCATAACACATTAGGTCATCCTAGGGCCAGTCAAGAGGTCAGGGGTGTGTGTGTGCCTGCGCAATCGA